GAAGGACTACGCGGGAAACTCTGTCAAGAGTATCTTGATCCGAATTCTGATTTCAGAATTGATTTGGCACGAAATCCACTACTCTCAGCAATTCAATACATATGATCGTTATTCGATAAAATAGATGCAGATAGAGAGGAGAATTTCTTGATAAAATAGCGGAAGCGCAAACGTTTTATTATATTAAAAATTTTATTTAGTTGTAAAAGTTTTATAAAAATCCTTTTCAGTCAAAAATTGTGATAGCTTGTCATAATTAATTTTATTTCTTTTAAACAGTAAAGATTATTAAGTATTATTTTTTTATTAACTTCTTTAATTAGTTATATATTGAACTCTATTTTTTAATTACATTTAAAGAACAATTAAAAAATTTAAAAAATTAATTTTTGGTATCTTACATAAGGCTTTTATTTTCTTATATGTATATGAAGTATAAATATATTTAAGCAATAAAAATAAAATATGTAGAAATATAATAAATGCTTTTATATTTTATTTATATTATTTATATGTGTTTTATTTTTTGTTATCTCTTTATTAAGATGATTTTTTAATAACGAAACTATGGCAATTGCAACTTGTGTAAATTTTTCTCGCCCAGCACCTTGTTAAACTTTAAAGTCGAATTAGGCATCGCTTGCATAACTTCAATCACCTTCATGCATTTAAATTGCCTTGTCTGAGCATGTTCGCACGTGTTAACACATGTTCGGTTCTCCCTACGCATACCTATACATATAAATCGCCCTCATTTTATTGGCATATTTGTTATATAACATCTTCATAAGAAAGATACATTATATTAGCAAATATCATTTATGGTTACAATATTTCTAAAAGAATACGAAATGTGAAAGAATTTGAAAAATCTGTTGAAGAGAGAATTTAAATCTTTTATATACTTTTATGTGTGTGTATTTTACACATTTATATCATTCAGAATGTTGAATCTACGTGGAATGTCTCGACATTATTGAATATCTTTTCCATATTTAAAACCGATTTTTCTTTGAAAAGATTGACATATTTATTATTTTTTAAATTAAACAACTAATTATTCATAAATACTAATTCAAGAAAAAAAATAAAAAAGATTAAAAAATCTGATTAAGTTAAAAAATGTTTCTCATTAAATTAATTAATTAAAAATAAACCCAAATTCTAAATTGAAAGAAATGATTCCAACTAAAAAGAAATAAAAGATTTTGAAAAAAAGAGAACGAATTAATACTTTGTATAACAAAAAAATTGGAAATCTTAATAATTTGCCTCGGTTGGATTATGATTTTCTCGTATCATCATATTTCCGTTATGTGTGATGCCGTTTCTCTGACGTTAATTATTCAACGGAACACACTACCGTGTTCAGACATGCGGTCTCTCAAGTTTAATTGTACGAATAATTGGACGCCGTATATACATGGCGCCGTGCAAAAGCCAATAACAGTCAGAGAGGTTGCGTCGACACGGGATGAGTTCGATTGCGAGAAAGTCGAAGCATTTCTTAACAAAGAAGAACCTCTTGAACGTAAACTGGAACGCGAAATTATTCTTAAGATAACAAGAATACAGTTAGGTTGCTCATTAAAGCTTTGCCTCGTGCAATCAGAGCTTTCTTGCGAATTTAGGAACGGGAACGGAACTGGGAATCCGATCAATCAGTAACGTATTAGACGCGTGCGCCAGAATTGCACTCGTTAAAGTAAAATTAAAGAATATGTACAACTCCCAAAATTGTTGAACGCTTTAAAATTTTCAGAAAAGTTTTAGTTAAAAATATATTAATTTTTTTTAAATAGAGGATATATTACTTTCTCAACATTATCTTTTTAATAGTTATAAAAATAAATATTTCATTTTGTTGTATATATTCTCTTTTTTTTGCCGCACAAAAAATTTCATAAAAATTTTTTTAATATAATCTAAATATACATATATATGCATTTATATCATGAATTGAGTTTTTAATTAATATATTTAAATAAAATAATTTTTTATTTAAAGCAAATAAAAATTTAAAATATGTAGTTTTTAACTTTACGTCATATTCATTTCGTTTTATTTATTTAAATTGTTTCTATAAATAAAATTCCATTGTTATTAAAGTTTAAAATAGAAAAGTAGCAAAATAAGTTCTTTTGCGTATTACGAAATAATTTCTGTTCATTTTAAATTGAAAATTTTTAATGTAAATTTTGTCATTCGAGATTACAAACTTTTCGATACTTCTTTGTCAAATTTAAATTTTAGATGTATTCAGACTGAATAATTTCAAAACAAAACAAACTACAGAAAATTTGCGAACATTCGAATAAATGTTTTATTTGGTCTATATTTATGACATTTTGTAAATATCACGTTGTACATACATTGTTTCCAAACCCGTTACAATATACTGCAAACATGTTGCACACGTTCGTAAACCGAATGTGGCTTTCCAGCTCGCCAGTCGCAATCGATTTTGCGAAATTTACGACACGTTCCCGCAAAAGCGAGACGCAAAACTGATACTCGTCTCTCAACGCGACGCTGAGCGATATCAGTTTTGGCACCGCATCCAGAACTGGTCCAGATTGAAATCGTCAGTAGACAAGACAATCCTGCTTCGAAGATTATAGCTCGCGATGGTATTGAAAATGTCAGAGTCGCTTAGCGTAAATTTAATGTGCTGACCAACATGACTTTGATTTCGCGCTAAATACGATATAATATTGTAATGATATTGTCACGATAATCTGTTAACATTTTGATCATTACATTACGTGTACATATAAATGACACCTTTAATAATAAAATTAGATTTGAAATCAAATTTAAAATGTAATTATATGTTTGTTGACATTTTTTTCTTCTTATTCACGCTTACATTCGTCAAACGAATAATGTAAAAAAAATATATAATTTCCTTTTTAAAACTGATATTTTGCAAACCACATCGAAGCCTCAGCGACTCCTTTAACATTTGCGAATACAGTAGATTCGAAAACGACATGAAATTTCCATTTTATTCCGTTCACATTTTTCTATTGTCACTAAATGGAACGAAATGTCTAGCACTTTGCATTTATTTACATCACTATCACAAAACTAAAAGTTTTGTGGTACGATTTAAATCCACACACACACAAGTTTACGAAAGTCTAGATTTTATTTTAAATTTAAATCATCGCTAACTGACTTTTTAATTAACCATATAAAGCTCTTATTCAAAAAATTTTTAATTAATAGTATTGGCAACTGTTCGTTAGAGCAAAAGATTTATTTTATTGTTTATAAAAATATCAAAGCATATTAATAAATAATTATTAAAATACCAAATTGGACAAACGTTATTTCAAAAGTTTGATATTTAAAGAATTAATGGATTGTATATTCAGATACATTTTACTTTGATATTTATAAATAGACGTTGCTTAAATTAGAATCCAGCTATTTACGCAACTTTATTAAAAATCAATCAATGCTTAATTATCAAATCTTTTAAATTTTTATAAACTTATTAAATTAAAATAGAATTAAAATTAAAAGAGTGCTAATATTTCGATTATTAAATCACAATTTTATGATTCGACGTTTCGATGATTCCTTTGGCAGCTAATATAGCAAATTCGAGAGCAACGCAAAATTTCCATTTTATTCTGCGTTCACATTTCCCGTTGGCGCTTATAAACGGACGGGGTGTCTCGGTGGCGTATTCAAAGTGCGACGGAGTGACGTGTGTGCACGAAGCGCGACGTGGTCCGCGTTATTATATAAAGAGCGAACACGCGACGTACCACGGATATGTAATTTATGAAAATACAGAAAACTTTGCGGCAAGGTCGCGCAAAATACCAGCCGAGAGCCACATCGATCGAACGCGGAAAACTATAAAACGAAGATAGCATCGCTCACGACAAAAATAACTGTAGGAAAGTGTTATTTTTATTAGCAATCAGTCTCTTGCGTTTGTGATTCAATTTTACTTCGATAAAGCGTAGATCATATTTCCCAAATAAAATTGAAATTTATGAAATATGAAATTACACATTTCTGGAGCAACGAAACAGCAGTCGTATGTTACGTGTAAACGTTATTATTAATATAATATTATATTATTATCATAATATATTAAAATTTTGTTGAAGAAAAAGAGGAATTTAAAGCTTGTAATGACGCACAATCTGCACAATACGGGAACAAATGGTGAAGCATTATTTCGCAATACTTTTTTCCCTTTTTTCTCTCCCTCTTGAAAAGTACATTTGTTGTTAGTCCAATCGTCTCTACCTTCTTTCGCGCCTTTTACCCTAATTGGACATTCAAGAACAGCACGAAGCTTTCGGGAGCATCTTTTGGACAGAACCGGAATTCTTTTGGAAGAAACTAATGGCAAGTTCTCTCTCCTTTCTTTCCTCGTTTTCCTCTTCCAAATATAAAAATTTCTTGGAGATTTAAGGAGCCATGTATCGCCCAATCATTTTAACAACACACTAACAACTTCGCTATGTACCTTTATATTAAATTATTTGGCAACGGATAAAGCAGCATTTGAGAAAACAGCTAATATAACAAACAAACGAGCGATATTTCAAATGTACGTCTCGTTTGTGAAATTATATTATTTACGTAATGTAGCAGAAAATATAAGTTTATATTTCGTGTATAACAAGATATTTGGGATTGATCAAATTTAGATAATTTTTCTATGATAAAATATTGGTTTATGCTTTTTTGTCTACGTTTATATACTACACGATAATGAATTTATTTTGTCAATTTCTCTAGTTTCTATACTACATTATATTTATAGCGATAAAAAAAATTTATTAATGATAAATTGTATTAAAAAATAATAAGAGTATAATCTCTCGTCTCCTCATGTATTAATATATTAATTAGAAGTTTATATAAAAATAAGAGTGTATTGGATGAAGATATTAATTTTCTGAAGATTTTAATTAATCGGGACCTAAATTACAATCATAATAATTACAAGACATAAAAAAACGACTCACCGGTACAACATGCGCTCCTGACGATCGGCCTCGCGATAAATCTTGTAGTACATCGCGATCATGATTATCCCCGGTACCCAGAAGCTCACACAGGAACTGACGACAGCATAGAACTTGTTGACTTGGAACACACACACATCCGGATAGTTCCTTCTGTACTCGAGATGCTCGTTTGTGGTATACCATCCTGCGAAGATCGGTAGGAAGCTCATAACAGTCGGGAAACACCACACGACGCTCAACATGGTTCCCAATCTCACGTTTGTCATGATTAACGGATAGTCCAGTGGTTGGACGATCGCGTAATATCTATCGACGCTGATGCAGCAAAGATGAAGGATGCTAACGGTGCTGAAGAAAACGTCCAACGAATTCCACACATCGCACATGAAATACCCGAATAACCAGCGTCCAAAAAGTTCCACGGAAGCGTTGAACGTCATGGCGAACAACGCCACTAACATGTCCGCCAAGGCCAGCGAAACCACGAAATAATTGGTGATTACCCGAAGCTTGCGGTGTCTCATGACAGAGACAATGACCAATAAATTGCCGAGGAGAGCACAAAGGATGATGAATATCATAATGGAAGCTTTTAAAGTTAACAAGAGAACATATTCGATATCGTGATGGTTTTTGCTGATGTTTCGCTGGCCAGTGTCGAGAAGAAAAGTGCTCGGTAGATTCGCAGTGTTGTTCAGATCCGTCTCGTTGAAACCCATCTTGAGGAACTGAAGTTTTTCTCACGTTTCAACTAGCGACTGTCTTTCGACGACTTTTCTCTCGCCTTCTTCTTTATGGCTGACGTGCAATCGATCCATTTACGAAAGTCAAGTTATGGTTCCGCCTAGGCAATGTTGTAGATCGCGAAGTTTTTAATTTGCAACATCAAGATGATTTATTTAGAGTATTTCGTGACTCAACTTATCAATAAGGTCCAAAATAAAAAAATTAGGCGAGAATACATCTCGGAAAATAAGCTTCATTGAGCTACTTGGATAAATTGGTACTTGAGCTTCTAGACATTTCGTATACTTGAGTTTTCTTGAGCTAATGATTGTCCATTTATATGAGTTCTTGCGATCATAATCATAATTGCAGATTTCTTTTCTTGTATTTTGTTGCTATTATTGTTTTATAATTGTAGTTGTAATTTTTTCCGAATTTCGACGTCCAAACGGGATTTTCATGCAGCACATTTTTCATAGATTTTAAAGTGTCTTCATACAACCTGTGAACAAAATATGCACAAATATACATAAAAAGCGAAATAAATAATGTAACAATTTTAAACGTATGCAAGAGTCTTACATATTTACAAATCTTATATATCTACAGCTTGTATCTTAATTTATGTAAAAAAATTATTTATTACTTATATTTATATTCACAAAACATCGCAATGCAAAATGATTTAAATTAGTAGTTCGAAATTAAAATGTACGTAGGTTAATAATATAATATTGTTAATAATATAATATGTATAACACTGATTTTGTACAAGATTATAATAGATTCTCTCTCTCTCTCTCTCTCTCTCTCTCTCTCTCTCTAACTTTTTATGTATAAATTTTAAAAATAATCTCAAAAATTATCTATAACATTTAAAAGTAATTTTATTGAAATTCGATGAATATTTCAAATTGACTAGAAATGCCTTACTTAGTTATTTCAGTGATTTTCAATTTTGATAATTGATTGTTAAGAGAAACTCATTTTTGCTTGTTCTATTTAGTGCGTTAATAACTTTAACAAAGTTAATTAATTAAAAATTAGTTGTCATCACTATTGTTAAAGAATTCTATTTATTTCATAAACAACATATTATTAAACATAATTAAAATTAATTATCATTTGTCTATTACCTACTATTATAGAAACATAACATTTCAGTGATATTTTGTTGATAGAAACATGTGTTATTCGCTTATTCCTTACAGTAATATAACTTTTCATCAAAGTTGGTTAATTAAAAATTGGTAAATGTTGGGGATCTGGAAATTCCAATAGTTTCATTGTTGAAAGAACCACGTTTCACATCGCCACGTTCCCGTTTATTCGAGCAATAATATACTTTTTTAAGACTAATTAAAAGTTAATCAATATTTATAAAACGTGATATTTATATCCTCATAATACTGTTATTAAAATTTCATGCTTATTCTCTTTAAGAGATATATCATAATAATACAACTTTATTAAAGTCAATTTTTTAATAGAATTAGTAAACGATGTCATTATTAAAATAAACATTTATATAAATTTGAATGATATAATTTTATTAATTACAATTTAATTATTAATGGGGATTTTAATTCAAATTTTATTAATTTATATTTATTTATTATATCCAAGAAGATAAAAGTAAAAATAAGAATAAAGAGGTAATAAATAAGAATTTTACCAATATACTAAATTAATTTTACAAATTTTCAAGTTCAGTTAAAAGTGAAGATGTTTGAATTTTAACATTTCGCGATCTAATTAAAATTTTAATTTACAATATTTGAATTGTATTTAAGATTTAACTAATGTAAATACACTAGTATTTGCCACTAAATAAATCCTTTCGTCGTAAATATTCCAAATAATTTGAATTATTCACAGTCCATGTATTTAAATGTATTCCGGCAATGTACGTACATATAATCCGCATTAAAAGGCCGTTGATTTACCGCAGGAATATGCTTGTTCTGTCGAAATTGGATTTACACGAGGATTCGCGCGAGGCGCACGCAGATAACAAGTCGTGACAATACGATCTAATGCTAAAGCTGTATATGTATGTCGGTCATAATAGAAACAACAAACATAAATTAACACGCGGCCGAACATATTAATCGTAGAACGCCTAAACGCTATTTGAAATTCTCACAATTTAAAATTTAATCATTACGGCGTCATCCCGTTTAAATTTAAATACTATGAACAATACATAAATAAATAAACGCTTTGTGTATATATAATAAATAAACATTTTAAAGATAAATAGCGATAGAAAACATAATGTTTAATAAATGATACGATAAATAGAAATATGTTATCGAAAATGTATCATTCTATTCGTGTAATATGATGATAATAATTATTGTAGATATAGTCTTCCTACTAACGTCAACATGTCTTCGGAATAGATAGAGGATCTATTCGTTTCAAAAATATAGTTCTATAAATATAAAGTCGTTCGTTTTAGTTGCACTCTCCATTACTTATACTTCTACAGTTATACTCGCTACGTGATTTTATATGCAAAGGGTACAGGAAAGCATCTAAAACGAACCATTCCTACGACCAAACGCGAGAAAATTCTTTATTGCGACGAATCGGATTGAAATATGTAGGATGATATACATTATTGACGTTTCTTGCAACGCCACATTAAGAAATTTACCTCTCTAAGGAGTTCCAATTCCATCGGCTGTTCTATCTATTTCGATACAGGCCAGATTAAAATCGGACGCAATATTTATTTGCGACCGTAACATGAAATATTTCTCTCGATATTTATAGATCTATCCGATACAGTGTCCTAGATCCGTGGTGAGTTTTCATCCATGAATTCTTTAAACAAATTGTCAACTTGTCCATAATAGGTATGTTAGAAATGAGTCGTTCATATTGAATATTTTTTAATCTGTATTCTGATTTAAAATGTATTTTTAATTTATCTTTTAAAATTCAATTTTTGAAAAATCATTACAATTAAAGAATTAATAAACAAATTTTTACAGTAAAGGTGAAGGTCATTGGAGGAGGCGTCTCTTTTCTTAATATTTATCTAAACGTGTAATGAATGATAAATCAAATTATTTAATTATATACAATTATTTAATCAAATAATATATATTCTTATATCAAGTATTTTATACGAATGAAGGAGAATAGGGAAATTGCAAACACGGATAAATGCGAACAATACTATTGCAACACATTAGAGTAGTGATAACCACTTACTTCACGCATCTAGTGATAGTCCAATATACGCTTATTGCCGTATAGTATAACTGATAACACATGACCATGGAACGCACAAGCCGAGCGTTTAAGGTAATTACCATTACATATTTTCAATGTCTTTAATGCAAAGGAGAGAGAGGGAGGGGGGGAATTACAAATATTTATAAAGGGAAAAGATAAATAAAACCAACGATTATTTATCAATTATGGAAATCTTTTATTCACAGAATATTCTCGCAATTTCCTCTTTCATACATCCAAAATATCGGAAATATGTAATGGTAATTATCTTAAACGGTTTGTACGTACTATGGCCATATGTTATAGTGCGACACAAATTGTAAGCGTATATCGGACTCTCATTGAATGCGAGAAGTATGAATTATGGTTATTATTACTCTATACTGCAATGTTATACGTTCGCAATTCTTAATTTTCTTTTGCTCATATAAAACATTTGATAATAATATGTTTTATTTGATTAAAAATAATTATACATATTATTTGATTAAATAATTATACACATATCATAAATTACTTAATTATTATTTATTATATTCATTATTATGTTATCGGGAGGGCCCCGTTTGCCTACAAATTTTTGGCCTACAGCACCTTTTGCCTACATCTCTTTTGCCTACAAATCGATTGCCTACATGTATTATTACCTACAGTTCGATTGCCTACATGCACTTTTGCGCACAAATAAAAATTTTGGAAACGGAGTTACTTTTGCCTACATGTATTATTGCCTACATGTATTATTGCCTACATGTATTATTGCCTACACTTATTATTGCCTACAGCTCGATTGCCTACATGCACTTTTGCGCACAAATACAAATTTTAGAAACAGAGGTACTTTTGCCTACATATATTATTGTCTACATGTATTATTGCATACAAGTATTATTGCCTACAACTCTATTGCCTACATACATTATTGCCTACAGCTCAAAATTTTCCACGCGAAATGAGGGCTACCTCACATCAACAAATGGTTTGGTTAGATTTTTTTGGGAAAATATTCCAAGCGGACACACTATCTGCGCTGACATGCCACCGTTCACATGACAGATTTCCTAAAAATATAAATTATTTTCTTACTTAACTTTAATTTTATATTTGTGCGCCAAAGTGCTTGTAGACAATCGAGCTGTAGGCAATAATACATGTAAGCTATCGAATTGTAGGCAATAATACATGTAGGCAATCGAGCTGTAGGCAATAATACTTACATGTAAGCAAAAGTAACTCTGCTTCTAAAAATTTTATTTGTGCGCAAAAGTGTAAGTAGACATTCGAGCTGTAGGCAATAACACATGTAGGTAATCGATTTGTAGGCAAAAGAGATGTAGGCAAAAGGTGCTGTAGGCAAAAAATTTGTAGGCAAAAGGAGCCCTTTCTATGTTGTTATCAGTAAAATTATAATTTAAAAAATCAAAACTAGATTAGGCATTACTCCACGTGGCAACGAGTAAATCCAAATGGCAAAAAAGGATTCTGTTTTTTTATTTAAACCCGTATTCAAAGCACGCTTTTGCGATGTTAGCGTGTATTTATTTAGCGTATAATTCACGTTATATATACCATAGAATTTTAAACATAAAAGCGCGTATTTATCGATAAAAGCGCGTTCTAACAGGTCATAGTATGCATCCGTTGATAATATATGAACGTTAATTATTACAGTTTAAAATCAAATAAATAGAGTATCTCTTTTGAATAAAAACTCTGTATTTAACTCTTTTTTCTTGTATTTGCAGTTTTCCTATCCTCCCCTACCTTCCTAGATTATTGCTAGATTGATTTTTCTTGTTTACAAAAATAGCGAGAAGAATGCTAATATGTTTTTAAAAAACTTCACTATAAACGTTTACACTGCTTAAAAATAAAATTACGGACTTCTGAGATCTAAAATTGAATAAAATATGTATACATAAATATGTGTATATAAAATTTTCATTTGCGACGTATGGTCGGACTAATCATATTCGTGAAATGAGCGAAATGTCGCCGCTGAAATTCCAGAACTGTCCTGAAAAATTCAGCGACAGTCAACGACAA